GTTCTAAAATTACACAACATAAAACAACTAAATGTTATTTCAGATGAAATTTTTGTTTCAGTTCCATTCATAGGATTTATTAGAATTTTGTATGTTTTGCCAAGTCCAATAATTCACTCTATGTGCACGTGTTAATTGGAGACTTTTCTATCCCGTATAAGAGTTTTGGAACTAATTCTGTTTCTTTTTTTGAAAAAAAGTTAGCAAACAAATCTTGCACATTTAAACCTTTGTCTGCCATCACACTGTCACCTGGATCACATAATTGAACTATTCTACATCTTTCAACTATTTCACAGTCACTGGTACAACCAACATATGCATTAGAGACCAAGGATCCAGAATTTTTTCCAGACAATTTCGGTCATTTTGAGAAGTTTGAAAAGTTGGTGCCCCTTTTCAAATTGTCGATATCAACTTGACTATATTCATAGCATCAACGAACATGACGAACTTGTATTGCTGTTTCATCGCATTTACTAAGTAAATGTCTTACCATTACCTTGAAGGACAGTTTAGGGAAGGCAACAGTTTAAAATTGAAATGATTTTAATGACTCAAAAAGGTTAATTTCTAAGACATTGCTTAATTTTCTTTAAACCGGAAGTTTGCGATATTTTAAAGTACGAATAATTCCGGATTCATTTCCGGGATTTGTTTTGTTTATCAAATTGACAGGAAATCACCTGCTTTTTATGGCTTTTTTTATTTTATTACCTTTAAAAGTGTTTGAATATAACAGATAATAGTTGCACTTGTTTAATTTAGCATGAAATCAATTTGCATTTTACGATTAAATATCAAATTTGCTGAAGACAATTTCACGCATGCGTATTACATAGTAAATAAAGTACATGTGTTACTCATGAAAAAATACTTTTTTCTACGTAAATTTAGATTTAATTTTTAAATCAGAATTGATGACTGTCTTTGATGAAAAGTAAATAAATAATGAATACACTTGTCAGGGAACTTTAATGTTTTAAAGATATTATTCTGAGCTTGTGATCACTGTCAGGTGTACATGTGAATTAAAACCACAGGTAAAAAGTGATTAGCGATCATTAGCCAATGTTTCCCGGAGGCATTGATATAGATATTAGGAGGGCCCTCAGGATTATCAAACTACTGTAGTGACAGTTTTATTACAGGAAAGGGATTATAAACAAAAACAAGTGATCACAAGTGCAAAATGGCGATTAAGAAATCCGATTTCAAACATTGAGTCAATGAAATGACGAAATTACTTCTGTAAAAAAAAAAAATTGTCCTAAATCTCAATTACTCGTTTAGGACAAATAGTTTCATCTTAGGACATGACTGGCAAATATGACCATTTCCGGACCCTTGTTAGAGACACAGTTGACTAAACCACCAGGTGTCGAACATACAAGTATTTTCAGTGTTTCTGTTTTTATACACTGTTTAGACATAAAAACAATCCATGTATACACAATATTCTTAACACTAGATTCAATCTAGAATCTAGACAGTTCAAAGTTGGTTGTATAATGCCTCAATTTCATCAAAGTCATAAAAAAAACTGATTTTCAACAGACACCCTATCAATTTGAAAATATATGTATCTCAAACAATGTGCTGCTGGACCAAGTGTGGTCAAAACAAATAAAAATTTAGTATACAACTCTAAACCGGTATAAAAATGCATGGCTGTGTCAGGTGTCTTCATTTCAAAATTCTCTGCTGAAAACATAGGCATTGATGGTGTTTGCGTAATTCCATCTGTGAAGCTCAACATTAGCTCGGCAGTTGGTGGTGGACAGTCATAAATCCTTTCTGCAGTATGAATGACTTCTTCAGGAAAACCAACTTTACAATCAAAACTTTCCTCTAGATTTCTACTACAATATTCATCATGTTTAGTTCTTTTGTTTTCACAGGAAACTGCCCTGATTTTTCTTTTTGTGGACGATTTAGTCTCTTGCTTGGTCCAGGAAAATAGGCTTGGAATGGCAGTAGACTTATGTCTGTATGGTGGGTTTGCGCCCTGAAAAAGGTTATGAAACATTAGTTTTTTGATAATTAAATGAACTTCCATTAGCAATGTATACTTTGTACTACCTGGCAAAATATTAACCAATGTTCCAGCTAGGATTTCAAAAGGGCAGGGAGCCAATCATGAAAAGGGCACTTTAGCACAATGATTGATATTTCAAAAAGGGCATGTCAAACTTTGTCTTATGTTAACTGCAGGGGTTTCAGCTAGGAGTTTTGAGGGGTTTTAGTCACTTTTACGCTAGATGAAAATCAACCTTATTTTTTGGTAACAGTATATATTAAAGGGACCATGCAAGGATGTATATTCCCTAGAACATTTTTGATGCATGGTAGGTCTAAGGTTAAGTTGCAATGCAGAAGCCAGCAGTGTTTTGTAGAATTTTTTTTTTTTTTTAGTGAAATGAATTGTGCATGTCAGTTAAAATACTACACTAGATCTGCAATACAGTCAGGAACAATACCTTACATTTTCTCCAGGTGCCAACCTGGATCCCAAAACTTTTTCCCAAGGGCCCAGTAGAAATTTTAAGGCCCTACCAGGGTATTTTTACTACAGGTACATACTTATTAATAGTCTTGAATGTTCTTATGAAGGCAATAATATATGTTTGAAATGCCTAATACATGTAGCCCAGTGTTTCTGATTATGATAGAAATAATAAATGAATTATAATAAACCACATTGAGTTTTTCAGAATTAAAATCCATTTAACCATGTCTTTTCAGACTGTTAAACTTATATTTGTAATATTATATATAAAAAATATATAAAAAAATCCCCCCCTTTCCATTTTACACACCCCTAGATGTAGAGTATTAAAGTATTATCAGTTTCACCCCAAGAAAGTATTCATTTTTAATGAAATAATCTTAGCAGTTAATCAAAATTAAAATCTTACTGTCTACAAATAACAATGAAATGTAACTGTTTCTTGTTAAAGGGGTTTTCCAAATTTTCCTGCCAAAAAAGCACATGGCTTTCAACAAATGTAAACAAAGCAGTCAATTTGTGATCATGGATTACAGCTTTAATTAATTTAATTTGGATATAGATATTCAATGAAAGGTACAGTCAAGCATTGTTTTTACTTTCTTCTGGATTAAAACTAGTTTAAAAAATCAATTTAAAAAAAAAACTTTGACATATAAACAACAGACGATCTACGGATCATCAAACGCAAATTGTCATCTTTTGAGAAATATTGAAATTGAAATGCTGACTGACCAAATTTAATGAGAAAAATTATTACAATGATCAATTATGAAGTTTAATTAACGGATTAATGACCCATCCGATGTCGATAAGCGGATTATCTGTAATCACAACTTATCAAATTATTACACCTGCTGTAAATGTTAATTGGCTGAGGGTCATAAACTTGTCATAAATATGAAGACAGGTAGAATAATTGTATTTTCATCAAAATATTACGGCAATACAGGCATGGCCTTACGAAAAAGGGCAGGGCATCAGAAAAAGGGCACAGGGCGGCACTCTGGAAAGGGCGGGAGGACCGCCCTGTGAAAATGACTTAGCTGGAACACTGTTAACTAGATTTATTCATTACAATCTGGATAAAACTATGTTTGCCTGATTCAATGTATGTTATGTAAATCCAAAGGACAAACAATGAGAGACTTATGCAACAAACGTACATTGTTTGTACCTAAATAACTATAATATAGATGAGAGCATGTCATTGTTTTGTTCCTGTTAACATTGTCATTGATATTTTTCAAGAAAGTCTATGAGGCATAGGTTATGCATTCCTTTCATTACTACATTAGCATAATTACTGCTAAAATAATTGTCAGTATGTAAGAAATCATTATAATTGTAGCAATCACCAAAAAATCTCAAACAGATCACATTGAATTGTAATCTTGAATTAACCATCCCCTTTTATTCTAAAACGATAAACAGACTTTGGTTTATTCGCATGGCGATTACATATATAACTATATATTTCAAAAAGAAAATAGAGTTTTACCATGAATAGTTTCCTGCACGTAGTCTTTTTCAGTAAAATGTGCCTTGCAAACAACAGCTGATTGAGATGGACTCCACGATTTCATCGTGTTCTCGTCCAATCTGAGTATGGGCCATGGCGTTGATCCAACTTTTCCTTCTTTTTAATTCATTTGGAAATGCATGTCCTCCTCTTAAATGACATCCAGGTACACAACAACAAGTACTTGGCATCGTTAATTAAAAATGTATCCGATAACTGTAATAGTTGCACAGTGCAGAAACTGGAAGTTGAGGAACAGGATCGGCTACCACGGCCCCACCTATTCAGGAACGATAATTTGCTACTTTATATAACTGCGAAATAACAATAACGTTAGACGGGTTCACGTGCATAAACAGAAATGCGCTTTAAATTGTATAATATAATTCATGTTCAGTCAACCTTTAATTATTATATCAACGACTGAAATGATTTATAAACATCTAGATTGCAGATAACACTCAAAATTAACCCGACCTCTTTCCACACGGAATTCAAATAATTCTAGTTTGTCAATCGGTTTACTGCTTATAATGCAAAATACAAATATATCAAAAGTTTTTAAAACTAACAAAACACAATGATCGTTTCTCTATTTCCCAATGTAAATGAAATGAAACAAAAAACATCTTATATCATAATAAGAAGAGGAGAGAATTCAACATTTCCGGATCTACTTGGAGCCTAATGACCCCCCACGTAGATAAGTTGGATATCGCGGAAGGAAAGATTAACCCGGCAACCAGAAAGGCTTTAAAGCACTGCCTTGAAAAACCAAACATTGTAGCGCCATGAGCGGAACGATCACTTCTCTTTCATATCTCACCACTTCTCCCTATCAGTTTCAAAAAAGAAGTCACTTCTCCCTATAATTCTGAAGTAGTGTGAGCCCTGTTGGTGTTAAGATAACTTGTCTAGATAAAACAGACCATTTGAAAATGAAGTTGCATACGTATAGGCTTATCATACCAAATCTTCTGGTTGAATATCTATCTGTGAGTTTTCCTCCATCAAGCAAGTAACCTGAGCTAAAAAAATAATAGAATTCCTATAGCTATTGTACATTGATTTTAATCAGTCAAGTTGGATAAAGTGGAAAACTAAAGGTAGTATAAAATACATTGTAAATATTTCCAAAATTCTTATTACTTACTGGCTAAACACCAACCAATGAGAGAAATTTTCTTAAATATTCATGAATTTGTTTGAATTACCATTTAATAATTGGTTTTTAGTAACTTTGAACAAAATGAAAATCAAAGGTTTATTTCTGTTTCCATCATAGTTGTCTTGGAAATACAAATGGACTGATATGAGTAGCAGCTTTTCTCTACTTCTTAGCTGATTTTTATTTCCCCGAAACTGTTGATTAGTTTATATGATCAAATGTGTGGTTGATCTCAGTTGTTCATTAGTCAAAATTCATTTAGTATGTCAAGTTTTCTTGCTTTCCTCTGATAAAGCTATTGTGACGTCATGAAAAACGGCTATAATATCTGATTATGCTACATAGAAGGAATACAACCTTTTAAAAAATTGTCAAAGAAAAATAATGCTTGCTTACACTTCTTCCAAATGTCTTGAGAGAAATAAGTTCCAAAACTTCATTTGTTGCGATACAATATTTTCAACTCAGAACAGTTAAATTTTAAATATTCAAAATGATTGGCAACCCTAATGTCTTAATTTGGAAAATTAAACTGTCTCAAGTGGAAAAATATTGTAATGCACTCTATGCAGAGATACATTTTATATTTCTTTTAAATTTAGGAGTTAACTGTATTGTATTTTAAGCTATGACGGCATCAATTGATGATTTGATGGTAGCAAATTAAGTTTAGCGGAGCCACTAAACAGGTATTTGCGACCAACAAATCACCAGTTGATGCAGTCGAAGCTTAAATTACAATACTGTTATCTCCATTCTAATGAAACTGACAGAAAACAACGTCATATCATACATTTAAAATCTGTCATACGTCGTCTGCGCTTGTGCATACGTTTTCATAGCATCAATTGTGAATTGATGCCATAAAAATTGGTGATGTTATCCAATCAAAATAAACGTTACATAAGATGTTGCATTAGAATCTTCAATAGTTATCCACAATGATTTATATATATAATTCATTCAGCCATGTTATTTTGTACACTCAAATTTTTAAAAGGAATTTAACTTGAACTTAGCAATAAAATAAAATATAAAGTTTCATAACATCTTACAATGGTCCATTTGAGTGAAAGGATGTATTTCTAGTCTTGGTAATTTATGTAGTGGTTCCTCCTCTATCATGATTAAATCAGGGGAGGTCATTCCTTCATTGTCAGGAGAGGTAACTCCTTCCATGTCGTCATCCTGCTCTTTTTGTTTTTCACAGGTATCAACACTGCCTTGCATATCTGATCCTTACAACATTAAAAAATATTTTATAAAATATCTTCATTTTATACTAAAAACACATATTTGCCAATTCCAATAACTTATAAAACTAGAGGATCTAAAGAGCCTGTGTCGCTCACCTTAGTCTATGTGCATATTCAACACTCTCCTGTAGACGAAAATAGAATTCTTGACAAATATCTGTTTTGTTGATCTTGTAGTGCTGATTATTAAGTCTGTTTAGTTTCTCTCGATATTCTTAAGTTTTTGCTCAAAATACAAAAGAGGTTAAAAAAAATCCTCATTTAAGGGAAATCGCTCCTATAAAGAGTGACAGTCTACTTGCTATATCGGCAAAATTTGACTTGTTCGTAGGTCATGCCTTGCTGATCATTTTTTGTGATTTAAAGTGAGAATATGCAGTTTTGTTCAATATCACTTTGGATAGTCTCAACCAATCAAATGTCAATTTCGCTATCAATATTTACATATAGTTGAATAATATCTGTCATAGAATATATATTATACTCGCAAACTCATGCACTAAAAAATCTACTCAGGACAATATTCACCAAAATTCATGCAATAATCTTAAATCATTATTGAGATGCATTGTGGGTACTGAATAAAGTAACATACCAATATTGACCCTAGCTGGTATTGTCCATGGAGAGGTCTTGATTTCAGAATTCTGGAGCTGCTGATAAATAGATCTAGCATAGGTTTGGTTTCCAGGTGTAAACTCATACTGCAAGTATCCCATCTTTTGTCCTTCTGTAGAAGCCTAATAATATAAGGCATTCAAGTATAAAATTCATATCAATGAAATGTGGGTAAATAAATATGATTGTTATATTGTGAAATGTTGGCACATAAAAAGTAAAATGACAATTTTTAAACAAATAAACTATGCCTTACATTCAAAGTCAATGAACCATGACTTAAGGTGCAGGGCCAAATAATCTCGAATTAGAAATGCCAATTCTTATAAAACTGCATACCAAATACGATTGTCTTTTCATAAGTGGTTCCCTAAACACTAACCTAAACAAAAACTTTAACTTGTTAACAATGTAAAAGTTTCAAAGTCAATGAACCTTGATAGGGGTGGGCCAAATATCTCCTTGGAAAAGAAGACTTTATAGATGCTAATACACCTCATCGCTATTTAGTCCAGTCCGGAAAAAAACAGTCACTTATACAACTTCCTCTTTGGGTCAAGTCTTGCAAAAACAAAGGTCATCAGAAATGAGCTAAGGAAGGAAAAATTTTAGAAAGCAAACATTTTGAAACTTTGATAGATTACGATCCACTTTTTTAAAACACAAATTAAAGTAATACAAATGCTTTGAAGTCTTAACGATGGTTTAAACATTTCTCTATGAAAAGTATTATGCATAATACATTGTTTAAAAAGTGGCACCAGATAGCTTCAACTGACGGAAAAGTTGTGTAATATTAGAACTCATCCGGATTTGAATAAATAGCGATAAGATGTATACTATCATTGACTTAACATTAGTGGTTCCTCTTAAACTGATCTAATCCTAAACTTTAACAAGTAAACTATGCAAAACATTTTAAGTAAATAGACCATGACTGAGGGGGTGGAGCCAAATAATCTCCAATGAAATGAGATGTGCCAATGCTAATACAACTGCATACCAAATGTCATTGACCTATCACTAGTGGTTCCCCATAAACTGACATAATCACAAACTAGTACACTGTTGATGGTTCCACAATCAGAAACAGCATACCTAAATCTCGCTTTTTTACTCCATCAAGGCAAGACAAAAACAGACCTGTAAATAAAATCTGGAAGCCATGTGTGAAAATAAGTAAGATTTAAAGTCATAAGAAACAAGTTTCTTATTGATTATAATGTTAAGGAAATTATTTAACCATTGCATGTATACCATGTATACTTTAGGTAGCAATACACAGTTAGGAGTTTGGTTTCGCATTTTGGCCCCGGTGGATTTTTCAAATATGAAAGTTATTGTGTAATAAAATTCATTTTTAGACAGCTGAGTACTAATTTAGCCTTCAAAGGTGGTTTATAAGAACATCAAGATTATTTTTTACATGTTTTATGGGCTATTTTCTGTTTGACTCTCCGTATTTTCATAGCTAGACCGGTCATCGGTCCAGAAATTAATGTAATATTTACAAACACTTTTTTTCTACACGAAGTTTTTGACGCAATTTTACAAAAAAATGAGACGAAAGACATATGATTTTCATTGGATTTATTGAAAGATATATGTAAACAGTTTCAGAAAAGGTATTACTTGAAGTGATTGAAATTCTACTTTTGGTCAAATTTTGGGAAAATATGTGACATCTTTTCCCCCCTTTTTGCTATATTTTATAACAAAAAAATGCAGACTGTTGCCATGGATACACCAAAAAGAAATTATATTTTACCATTTTATATACTGGATATGAAATCTATGGAAGATTCTGATTACATACATATGCACATATATGACACAAACAGTAAGCTTAATATTGCAAGAAGGCAATGAAAAGGGGATGGTAAAATTTATGAGGGAAAATTTTAACATTTTTTCCTAACTGTTTATTGCTACCTTACTAAGTTACCTGTGCACATTTTTTTACATTTATCAAGAATCTATAATGTATATTCAACAAAAAACATTTCATTCTGTGATTGTTGATATAAAACTTTGGCTGGTAATTAACTTTCTGGTTTTAGTACCAAAGTTTTAATTTTCATGAGTCCAGGAGTAATGGACTCATCTTAGTGAGCCCTGCACCTCACAACCATTGATAATCCATACATCAAACATTGTTGAGCTATCATATATATTTACTGAGGAAAAGAGATCATCCTTAAAACTTTACCTGACCTCAGGAGTGTGTAAATGAGGTCAAGGTTAGACATATTAGGTGACAATGTCTTACTGAAAAGGTGTGTTTTGTGTATATATTCTTTATTCCAAATGCAATACAGCTTATAGGTATCCTGTAATACAACTATTTGAAAAATTATACCCAAGTCTTGCCCACTGTGACTTTGTTGATGAAAATTTATTCTGATGTAGGAAATTAATAAAGTATAAACATAAAATAAAGTTGTCAGATCATCATAAATAATGCACTGTTACACAAGAACATACAACATATATGTCAAGTAAGTTGATTAAAACCAATATAACTACATTCATTCTAAGTTAAGATAACAAAATAAGAAATTACACAAACGTATTATTACCAGGTATGCGTGTAACATTCTGTACAGTATTTCAACCCAGGAGTCCATTTGCATAGAATTCCCTATTCCCTCCAGAAAACATTTCAGACTGGATTTTGGAATGAATTGTCTGTGACGCAACAAAAATGCAAGCAAACCTTGTTGTAGAAATCCTGGTAGTTGGCTGTATCTTGTGACACTAAAATACAAAATGCCTGGCAATAGTCAAAACGTTTTTTTTTTTTTTTAATTATTGTTTTGGAGATAAAATATAAAACAAACTTGTGGCTGACATGAATTATTGCAATTCTACATGTAAATGTGGAAAATGAAATTTGAAATCATAGAAGCACATAATACCTCCTCAGCTGTTATTGTCTTTGTTTTTTACTGTAAATTATAAACTGCTCATAAATTAGGTATTGATTTTTCATTTTGATTGATTGCATTAAATGGATATATATGTTTAAGGACTTGAATATATAGGTAATTTTAATTCTGTAAGCATGTTCATTAATTTAATACACTTTTGTATCACCAAAAAAATGTTTATGAAGAAAGACAGATGTTTAATCTCTTTATTGTTAAATGTGCACACTTAATAAAACCACAGGACTATAGTGCCATTCAAAGCCAACCTGCTGGTGGACAATTTGTTCCTGAGGACATCATCCGCCCAGTAGCATACTATGCATGAAATTATAAAAAACATATTTTTTGAAAGTCTCTTTGTTATCTTTTGACTCTCTTTAACAGAGGGACGTGCTTTGCATCTAAAATTTTCAACTAGCCATGAATAATTCAGAAGGCATATGATTTGGTTGTGATTCAGGTATAGAGGTCATTGGAAGGCCTGTTGAATTCATAAAAAATTTGTCTACACTTACGGTTATTTGGAGCTTAAAAATATGGCGTGGACATTATGAACATGTGTCTATACTGTTAATTTAGAAATTAATGCATGCATTTATTATTGCAAATCCTTGACCACTGGCAAAACAATGCAATAATTTTTTAATTTACAGGTGTCTTTCGCATATATTTGTGTTAATGAATGTAAAAGTAAAATAATAATCAAAGAAGAAAATACTAAGGACAATGTCCATTTCACAGACAAGATTCAATGATTGATGCTGCTAATATTTCATGCATATTCAGGACATAATTTGTTAACAGGATGTGAGGACACTCTGCTTTGCACTTTATGGACCTGCTGAGTTGGAGTATAAATGTGTTATCTCACGAGTTAACAGCCTGGAGGAACACATGTCACCAAACTGACACAGTATTCTGGCTCAGAACCAACCAGTCATTTCCCTTTCTCCTTAGGACTGTGATGTTGGACGGTATGCAGCAAATACCAATTTTACAGATTTTAGTTTGACCTAATCCAGGATCCAACTCACAAGTGGAGGATTCAGAAAGGGTACACCTCCCCCTGTCCCCTTAAAAAAGGGGGAAATGTGATAAAGGGAAAATTACAATCAGGTTTGAGTCAAAATATGGTCATCTAATTCTTAATTCTCAGAAGTGCCCCCTAACATCATATCCTGGATCCACGCCTGCACACAACCTCCTGCAATCAGGATAATCATAATAACATGAGATCATTAACGAGGTTGAACTAATATAAACTTATTGCAGAAATCCTGGATCCACGCCTGCATACAACCTCCTGCAACCAGGATAATCATGAACTTATTGCAGAAATCCTGAGCATAAAAATATCAGTTATTTGTCTGTGAAATGTCCTTTCAAGGATCAGACAGTCTGCACCAAAATTTTTCCAACTACTAGTTTGAAGACCAATATTTCAAAATTTTTCTTATGTGTCCAAACAAAGTTTTGCAAATACTTACTAGTCTGAAATAAAATTTTAATAATCTGTGACATCAGAATAGTGGCTAACGGTGCAGACTGTTTGATCATGATCAAACTTACCAAATCAAATTATTATTCATGACTCATGCCCTATACCTTCAGACAATGTTCACAATAGTTGCAATTTAAAAGGCCATTAATCAAAATACGTTTAACATATATCCATGAATATATTTATGCTTGATTGTAAAATCAAATGAATGAATTATGTATAAAATAACAATAGGAAATCTGGGATTTCTGTTTTCACAAGCATTAATTCTAGATGTAGGCTGGGACTATTATAAGATGTAGGCTGTATTGGACAGTATGGATGAACTCAGATATCAATTTATATAGGTCATTCAACTGAATATTAAATACTGAACAGTAGTTATAAAACTTACAAAATGAGATCTCCTTCCTTAGTGGTGGGTTCTTCTGCCAACAAACTCTGTATAAGATCATTCCATAACAATATTCCGCCATACTTTGATGACCATTGATCTTCATACCATGCATTCATTCTGTTTAAAACAGTATTATTGGATTTCATGGCTGACTGTAACAAACCTCGCCATCCTACAGGTACAGTGTTGAAAAATCTGTCATCAGACATTGTTCTGTAACAACAAAATTAGTCTATGCTTAAAAATTATAATTTCAAAATGATTAATACAACAATGAGGAGATCTGGTATGATTGCCAATGAGACAGCAATCCACCAGAGTTCAAATGACGAAGATATAAGAATGTTTCTGATACATTATTTGATGCAGTTGAACCACATTAATACAGTACATGAGTTGACTCAATAAACATGCCTACTATCTTGGATACCAAAACATTGGATTTTTTAAAGCAATGAACTCTTTGAGGTCAACTCACTCCATAGTGAAATGAAATCTTCAGTTGCATATGTATGTAAATGTTCATGCAAATATAATAAATTCACATACAAAATATTGTTGACCTACATGTATCAATGAGATGTACAAGTATAATTTCTAAACTACATATGTACACTTAATTCTAAATTTTAATGGTCAAAATCAAGACCATATGACAACTTCCAAATAGACATATATACTCCTACTCACCAATTCCCATACCAAACATGTTAAATATTGTTAATCTGTCATACTCATTTGTTCATTAAGCATACCTGTCAACTGACCTGGATCCTGCGGGTGTGACCCGAGATTTTCACAATTCTGAGGGGTCTCCTGGAACACCCGCCGGGTGACCAAATAACCCAGGAATTCGAAAAATTACCCTTTTTCACCCGGATTCCTAAGCCTTCAGACTGATTAGATATAAACTGATTTCTTTAAAATACCGGCAAATTCGAAATTCTTCCTGGACAAGAAGTTCAACTAGCTGTGTAAACTTAGCTCAAGTGACCCATTTCAGTGCATGGCTTCACTTGACAGCTTTGGTGTCAAACACACTGTTAATTAACACCAATTACCTTAGCTTTAGGTCGTAAATAATTTGTGTATTTCAAAGTTGTTTTAAAAACAAATTGAGTTACTTCCCCTTTTTTTGTCAATTCACAATATACTCCTTAAACTTATGTTTTTTTGTAAAAAGATTAAATCTAAAATGAATTGAATGCAAAAACATATCAGAATAATACTTTTACTTATTGTTCTACCTTAGAACAATTAAAAAATAAAAAATTTTGAAAATTACTTTTTTCATCTATACCTCCTTATATTAGTTGGTTGACTGTTATGGAATAACCGTTTCACAGATGATATGGGATATTTTCCTTATGTCGTAACTACAATACCCTGCTGATTTCACGAATGTGACTTACCGAATTAGACTATTTACCGGATTTGTAATAAGATAAGCAACACGACGGGTGCCACATGTGGAGCAGGATCTGCTTACCCTTCCGGAGCACCTGAGATCACCCCCAGGTTTTGGTGGGGTTCGTGTTGCTTAGTTTTATTTTTCTATGTTGTGTCTTCTGTACTATTATTTGTCTGTTTGTCTTTTTATTTATGGCCATGGCGTTGTCAGTTTGTTTTTGATCTATGAGTTTGACTGTCCCTCTGGTATCTTTCGTCCCTCTTTTAATTGTTTAACTTTATTTTTATTATACTCTAATATCAACCTCTGATATGTGGTTTATTATACCGACCGTGCAAAGGCTGTATAGCCATTCAAGGTCATTAAAAACTTCCATATATATGATATGTGGTACTGTTTAAAAGCTGCACAAATGTATGGAAAGAAAATATAAAGATAAAAAAAAAATGTATGCAAAGAAAACACTAATTGACACCTTGTATGTCATGGACTGAATATGAACAGGAATAAAGGCAATGTAACACAAATCTATCAATGGCGTCCAAGTGCAATGAAATAATAAAATGTACAATTTTAAATTACTTAACCATATGTGGACATGTTTTGGAAACTTTGATATAAATTATAAGAAAAATGTCCCCTAAATTCTGAAATTCAGTTCGAAAAAGTTGGTATGCGTTATGACCTGAGATTTCATTCTTCTATGCAGGTCATCACCTGCATTTTCATTGACATAGGTTGACAGGTATGATTTACTTAATGAGAAACAGACATCATCCTGAAAACCAAAGGAGTAAGATAAGTTTAATGTAAGATAACAATAATTGGGTCTCATCATGAACTACTGTAAATTCAAAATTTATTGTGAGGTTTTTATTAATGCGAATAATGTGACTTGGTAATTATTGCAATAATAAGAACTTGCTTTCTGATATCCGATACATATATCTGTATGCCAAATTTTCCTGAAATAGCAATACTTAATCTTGCATTTTTGTCCATTCTTCAAAAATCGCAATAAAAATGCATGCAATAATTTGTGAATTTACAATTTCCATACAAATCTTTGATGTCCTATATGTAAGTGAAAATAGGAATAAGATATTGAGGTTATTTGTAAATTGTTCAAGCTGCTTTGCTAGAAAAGAATACTGCTGTCTCATCTACTGCAAGTTTCTTTACAGACTAGACAAAATCCATTTCCTAGCAATGGTTAAATTTGTGAGACTTTTTTTATTTTCTGTTTTGTTTCACTACTTTGGATTTTCATTAATTTCAGGAAACAAAGTCATAACAGGACTTTCCTTGTCTTTTAATATACTGTAGCATCCTGATAAACAGTGAATTTTGAAACACTATCTTTTTTCTAGAAATTATCATGATTATAGCATCACATCCATCGCACGTTATATGAAAATTGTTTCAGATACAGTAGCAGCATATTCAGGCAATATCATGTCACATTAAAGACTGGGGAGAACATTTTAACAGTTATAATTTTATCTGGTGGGAAAAAAATACTACCACACTTTCAGTCTGAGCTTGAGCTTAAATAAGTCTATTTCTGTTTTGATTTCTGCAAGTCAAAATTTGTGTCTGCAATCAATTTTTTGACTTGTTCATGTCGTTTCTGTTTTCAGCTAGCATAGCTAGTTAAGAGTCTTTTTAGTATTTGATGACTTATTACTAAATCTGTGAACTCAGTCATGTAAGTTATTTCACCAGCGACATTTTTGCCATTTGCAAACCGATGAAAATAATTCTGATCAATTTCGTCTCCTAAATTGGTAAAAGTCAAAAATTAAATTGTACAAAATTTTACCTGGCGACAGGTTTATGACAAGTTTGCAAACCCAAGCTAATCAAGTCACAACAGGTGTCATAATTCGTATAAATATTAATGGTTTATTCCTTGAATGCCACCATCCTTTGATCTACCGACAATTTACCTTACCTGTAAAATTATGTTGGTGTTTGAGGAATAGGTGTAAGTAGTTATCACAACAAAAGTTCATGCTTATCAAAACAATTACGGTACGTCTAAACACCGCTCAGGACCTCCTGAGTGCACTCAGGACATATAAAGTGCACTCAGGACATGAAATAGTTGTTTTAGTGAGTAGTGAAGGTATGCATTCGATAGATAATTCAATTCTCCATCTTATAATTTTTGTTTTGATAAAATCAATTTAATATTTAAGAAGTTAATGAAGTTTTCATTGGCATGCGCCGATTTTATGAAATATGTCAGGCATGACCGATAATTATATTGAATATCAATTATCATGTTGATTAGGTCGTTTGATCTTTAATGGCTGTGTTTGGATATACGCCAGAGGTGGCCTATGGTTATCCATAGGTACCTTTGGTTTGATATTCTATATTTCAAAATATCAAACCATGGGTACCCAAAGATACCTATGGGTAACCATACATTTTTGTAGGCTGCCTTAGGCGTATATCCAAACACAGCCATAAATTAGGAGTGATTAGTAATGGTACTAACCTCATACAAGTAAGCTTGGCAAACAAACAAAACCAAGATGTCTTTTGAAAAATAAAGAACAATGAAGATATATTGTTTTAGAAAAAATGTTAAATAAACTTTTCGTTTTGTTTGTAATAATTGAAGCCATTTGAGAAATATGAGTAATCTACATATAGTTGGGAAATTTTAATTCAATTCATTTCATCTGAAAACGTTCAAGAATATCGATATAAATTATTGCAAAATGTGGCGATTATTTCTAAACAATTTCATATGGTAAGATTTGGTTTTACATTGAGCTCGTTCTTGTCCAGTATTAAGATTCCTTGAGCAGTTTTAATGTAAAAGTAAATTCTGAAGAATGATTTGTTGTAAAACAGTTTAAATTTTACTTCTGAGTAATACGAATGTTTAACAAATCAGCATTTAGTAAGATTTTATTTCTCATTTAAATCGTTCTTGTCCATGCAGTAATACATGCCTAGAACAAATTTCAATGTGTAAATAAATTCTGAAAAAAATGAATTTGTCTCCGTTTTCTGAAAATTATCATATTTGGGTATTATTTCTAAACATTTTGTAAGTAAGATTGTAGTATGATTCTAAACTAAATTAAATAAAATGATTTTTTTATTGTAAAGCAAATGAAAAAAATATTTGATTTTGTTTCTCAGTTCTTCCCATGTTTATTTTTGTCAGTTTACTGTCCTAAATAAGTGCTATCGTATATTGAACTCTCGCCATTTATCCTATTTTGGTATTTTACTGTAAAAAAAAATTATGAACATTTCGGTCCGTACAGAAAACATGATGCATCATTTCAATGTTGGTTTTCGAAAACAAAAGAACAGCGAGCAAGGCTATTTCGGAGATTGTTGATTGACACGAAATCCGTTCAAACCACGACTAAGTCTTCGTGCACATATTTTGAAGTGCCAAAACCCCAGAAACTTGCTCGTAAGCCAAACCAAAGAAAAAGACCAAGGACAGCATGTACGCAGCCAGGATATTAGACTTAGCAAATCATATAAATAAATTCATCTAAATATTGTCATTGTAAATATTGTACATAATTGTCTTCTCTATACCTATGTATATGGTTTATTGAGAATAAAGATATACAAATTCAATAAAATTTGATATTCAGTAAACATTGTTTTTGTTTATTAAGTTGATTTGGAGAGAGGGAAAAAAATCCCAAAGAAAAACAAAAATCGAACTTGTTACAGAAAAACGGCAACTATAAAACAACATGATTTTTTTATTTTCTTTATGCATGAACTGCAGACCACAACAAAATTAATTTAGCCCTCATCATGAAAAATAAACTGAAAAAGTACATCGAATAATACCCAAATATGATAATTTAAATACAATTAAACACAACAATGATGAAGTACAGCAGAATATAATGGTACAACAGTGCCAGCGTTCTGAAAATCCATAGGTATCCATAGTAGAAATGTTTTTTTTCTTCAATTTTTTTCTCCATAAACGTAAAATTTACTATGCATAATTTAAATTTAACTACATTAAACAATCCCTAAAAACTTAAAACATCGTGTTATTAATTTTAAACGTTACACTGTACTAACAACACAATTCATAAACAACAATAAAGATAATCCAATCAATTTTGTTGATTGAATAATTCACGGCTCAGTAGTTGTGTAATCAGTGACACGTGCCCTCATTATTTTATATAAATTGACATATCTATCTAAGTTCGATTTCAAATTCTACCAAAATTTAACTCTTAAATAAGTAGCGTGTAACGAATATATACAGCCATCCTGTGTGCAAATACGATGCCTATAAAGGGTCCGGAGTGCACTTTGTATGTCCTGAGTGCACTCAGGAGGTCCTGAGCAGTGTTTAGACGTACCCAATTTATACGAACTTCGTCCCCTTTCTTAGGTAACACCTGCCTCATATTATATATTTATATACATGTATGTGTGTAGTTCATGATGTTTAAACTGCCTTTTCTTTTCTTTAGATGTATACTAGATTTCTTGTACTCTGGGTTATAAAAAAAAATATCATCAAACCGCTCACTACTGTCAAGCCTTTAAAGCCTTTTGTATAAACAAATGAACAGGACTTATCCAAATCAGTGGGAGAGATCAATCAAATTTTGTGCGAAAAAAGTTCCTATGACATCAAATGTCATCTTCCACTTAGCGATGCTACACACCTTATTAAAAACACACAAATGATATGAATCTTATTGAACAACTACCCATGAAAATTATATGAAAGAATGGTCAATAACGACCTTTTCGTAGTTGTACTATAACATTTAAAAATAGATCTGTCTGCAGGTTATATGATAGGATCTAACTTATTTTTTTCAAAATTAATTGGCAGTGGTAATTTTGCCGGTGCCAAATAATCAAATTGCTATTTTGCCGGCTTTAAATCATGATAAAAATTGATGTACACGGATACTGTAAACAAGTTGGTGTGCAAATCAACATAAAAGAATGAAATATTATCATTTCTTTTATATATGAATAACATACACAATACATAAATTGCACATAGCATTTTTTTTTTTAAAGTTCTGTGACATTGTCAAGCAAAAAAACATAAGTTGAAACAGGGACTTTCTATGCTAACGTTAGTATAGAAAGTACCTGGTTGAAACTGTAATAAGAAGTCGCAATAGAAGAACCCCCTCCCCTCATAGAAGGACTGTATTTTAAATGATTTTGTAAGTTAGAATGAATTATTATCAAAACAGGAATTAACTTCAATTTATAAACTTTACAATTTGTAATGCTTTTTTGTTATTTAATGTTTTGTTATATAATATTATATCTCGTCTCTCTATTTTTAATATATAACAGCTTTGATGAGTGTTTGGTATGACTATAAATTTTCACTTCTGTTCTCGTAATATGAACAACAAAATTTTTTATTTTGTAAAAAAATATTTCCGTTCTCCATTTATACTGTATACCTTACTACAAAATGATTTTCATTTATCTGTGTACATTATTCTATTTGGCGACATTTTATTCAAGGTTTTTTTTCTGAAATCGTTTAACATCTAACCCCTTATTTTATTGATTTTGTATTTACATTGTGTCATAGATAAAATGTATTCGTTCAGTACATGTTCACTTGTGTTAATATGTCTTTTGATTGAGTTAAGCCATTTCAATTGATATTTTCAAGGAATTGTATATTTAAATTTTTAAATATACAATTCCTTGATTTTTATAGTGTGTCTTTCTATGTTGTGATGTTACACTATTGTTTCAGAAAAGGGTGAAGGTTGGTACCTATTAAAACGTTTAAACCCGCTGCATTTGTTTGCACCTGTCCTAAGTCAGGAATCTGATGTTCAGTAGTTGTCGTTTGTTGATGTGGTTCATAAGTGTTTCTCGTTTCTCGTTTTTTTTTTATAGATTAGACCGTTGGTTTTCCCGTTTGAATGGTTTTACACTAGTCATTTTTTGGGCCCTTTATAGCTTATTGTTCGGTGTGAGCCAAGGCTCCGTGTTGAAGACCGTATTTTGACCTATAATGGTTTACTTTTACAAATTGTGCCTTGGATGGAGAGTGTCTCATTGACACTCATACCACATCTTCTTATATCATTTAGCACGTGTGCTTTAAATTGCTGTGTTTATCTTAATTTTGTAAACGTCACGCAAACTAGCCTAGTTGCTACTTTTACACGTACTGTCATGAAATAGAAGTGCCTTCATAAAATAAGTTCCAAGTGGAAGAAATCTGAGTATGCAATATTGTTTCCACTGGAACAGATGTTACGGTATTTGTTCCTAACGGAATAAAGGTTATAGAATATTTGTTCCAACAGGAGATGATATTATGGCATTGTTTATAACAAATTTTCCCGAGGAATGTCTGCTAGGCGGAACTTGTGACAAATATACGTTGACAACACCACTCAAAGATGGAAATTAGTCGTAAAACTTAACCAGAATGTACCACAAATCAAAATGTAATGTACCACAATTCAAAATGTACCTTCAAATTTTGCATAAAAGTTAGTTAAAATTTATATCTGTAACAAAACCAGTTCTTTGACTTTGGTGTGTTTTTTATTCGGCAGCACGACAAATGTCGCCATTCGGCTAGGTATAAGCTGCACATTACACTTGGTTCCTTAGCAAATTTGACGGTACTGCATCGTTTTTATGATACGTGCATCCCGTTTGAGCTGAGCAAAGCGTCCTCATTCATAGTTTTCTCTTGATAACTCAAACTCTTTGTAAGAGTTAAATTCAAAGAAAACGCTTATGATGTCCGACTCTTCATTTTGTTCACCAATCTTCACCCCCTCCCCCCAAGATTAACACACAGGACTCATCAAACCCCAAGGAGAACAGTAATACAACAGGCTCATTCAGCTCCGAGGGGGAAATTGGTATTTCTCCTGAATCGCTTACACCCTCGTTCATGTTATGGAAAAGAGTAGCCGACACTTCCTTGAAAGAGGACGGTGATTAAATAGGAGGAAAATACCATTTATTCCGAATAAATGAGATATCTGTAACCCTAATGGCAAAATGATTGAACGTTATATACCTAAAATTTAAATGCCAAAACAAATTGTCTATAATAGCAGCATATGTATTTATTATGTATCACTTTAATTTTCAATTTTTAGGTTTATCTTGCCTCTTGACTCAATAACGTATTATTAAATTAGGAAACAAATAACAAATAAATAAAGATTCATTTGCTTTCTAATGGTTTAATTAAGTAAAAACCAATTCACAGAAACTTGTTTGTTCACAATTTAGTCATTTTCATTGTGCACAATGATGACGTTTCAACAGAACATTAATGTGTGCACATTTTAAAGAACACACATGTTTGCCTATACTTTCTTATAATAAAATATGAGATGAGATATGATTGCCAATGAGATATTAGTTGTAAAGGCCAAATTTAAAGTATAAAGAAGCGAACAATTACCAAACACTGTACATCCTTCAACAATGAGCAAAACCTAAACCATATTGTAAGCTATGTGTATGTGCTTAAAATCCTTGGCTAACACATTTGTTGGTTTGAGCGTTCCTGATTAACGCAAATCCAGAAAAGCGCTTTGGGCGCAACACATTTTTAAAGCTTAAGTGTTATCTTCATTTTTCTATAAAAGGCCATAGTAATACAACATGTTAAACAATATTAGACACAATTTTTATTACACACCTAACTGAATACACACATTCTTGACCTCAATAGTAAACCTACAAATGTATTATTTATTTTGATCTACAGTACATTGAAAGTTCTGTTAATTTTGCTAGCTGGCTGAATGATTAATCTGACGTGTTTTTTTTTCAAAGAAAATACTTAAAATGAAAAAAATATGTATAAAAAATGCAAGGAAATTTTATTTTACTTGTAAAATCAGTGCCATTATCATCTGACATAAGTCAATACCCAAGTTCTAATTAATTAGTTACAATTATCAGAAATTTGGTTGAAATATTAAACAAAATTGCATAACTCTTAACTGAGCATTTTCTACAATAAAATTTATTTGTTTGTTTTACATTTATATCCCATTATATTGCTATTTAACAGTAATTGGAAATATCTCAGCATTAGGTATTTGTACATTCAGACTTGAATACAGGAAATGTATTTTTTCTTAATGAAGAATGAACACCAATTTAGAACAAAAATAGTTATTATTTTTTTAAATTATTGTTGTCGAGAAAGTGCATTTATAAGGCCTCTTTCTGGAAATTATTAAACCTGCCATTATTAATGGCAAATAAAAAATATATTACTTGTTTGGCGATTTTCCTTTCCATTCTTGTCAAAAATAAAATCTGACACAGTCTAAAATTGAAAGATCAGTATATATCTATATTTGCATTAATATTGCGAAATTCCCTACCTTTGGACAATAACATAGAAATTTTACAGTAAGATTGGAAATGAAAAGAGAAAAAAATTTAGAAAAAGTATGGTCAGAAAGAATATGAGACTAGCTATGCATATGACTGTATCACAACATTAACGCAAAAACAATTTTCATACACTTGTGAAATGGTAAATTTAAAGCTTTGAGTTATTTTGCAAAGGTTTGCGTTTTTTTCGCGAAAGCTTGCGTTAATTAATATAACGTAAATATGAATAAATAAATGGAAAAAAATTGTTTTGGGCGCTAATACGCTTCTGTATTTTTCAGTATAAGGAAATCATAAACAAATAAGAATTATACAGTTGTTTCTGCAGGCCCTTTACCTTTTTTCTTCAATAACTCTGTTTTGGTTTTTGCGTTCATTTATCGATGTTTAAATTAGGTTGGTTGATTAAATGATTGATTGCCTTCATCGGTACCAACATTGATTTCGTTTTTAATAAACAAAAACATAACTAAATATGTATGACCGACAGTCATTACAACTGAATTATGAACCGACACTTGGATGATTTTATTTTTTTTATGTGCAAAGAAATATAACAAGAAGGAGTGGAAAACAGTTGAATTATACATGTTATCAGTTGTCCATTGCACAGGTGAAGTACAGGAATAGGACAATTGGAGGAGGGGGCAGGGGACATAAACCAGTGGAAGAGGGGACGAGGAGAGATAACAGGGTGACCAAAAAATAAGTATATGCTGGAAAAATTTCTTTGATTGATTTTTGACTTGGAGTAGAAGGAAGGGAATTGTGAGTTGGGGAGTTGGGGGAGGGAAGTGGAAACCAGGGTCCCCCTTGTCCACCCTTCTCGTTAAAAGATCAACTAGTCGAGAATAAAAATAATAAGGCAAAGACAAAACTCAATTGTTTTGGTATTTGACGGCAGTTAACCATTTTCTAAGTATAGGAAATGCATAGTTTCGAAATATTTGAAGATTTTTAATCATGCAGATGGTATAGGAATTATGGAACACATGCAAGTATTTAAAAGTTTTAAAATACTCCGACAGAAGGTCATCGGAGGAAATAATATCGTGAAACATTTAAAACATTTTAAATGAATGTGGTCTATTTAACGTATGGACATATCAAAACTTTTACAATTATGATTGGTTAAAACATGTGATCAAAACAAGTTTCCAACATCAATTTATTCAAACTTGGAGTTCAAATACTAATAACAGTTCCAAAACGATTAACTATTGAATTTATAAAGAAAGTCTCGCTTTT